TCTAAAATTCTCTCTTTCAAAAATTGAAAAAAATCAAGAGGGAAGGAAGAGGATTGAAGTAGGGAGTTTACCTATTATGTAGCCAAACTTTGTAACGGTTGCAAAGCCCCCTAGATCAAAGCCTAACTCCCTCTCTTTCTTTCTCCTCTCTTTCCTCTCGCTCTCTCTCATGCATTTTTTCTTTCCTTTCTAATTCAGTTTCTGCGTCCTGTTTCTGTTTAAAAAAGCTGATATAAGACTTTGGGAAAAATTACAAGAAAGAGCCCAACTTTTTTTTTATTATAGCACAAAAACCCGGGTCACTTTGGTAATTTTTTCTATAGTTAAAAATAAAATAAAACCCAACTTTTGCTTAGTAAATTCAAACTCTGGGACCTCTATTAAATATTCTAAATTTTTAATTTAATTATATATTTTTATTTTTTTAAATAAATTCGAGTCTTAAATTTTGAAATATTACAAATTTCATATCTCAATGATTTCTAAGGTTAATCTCACGTTAAGATCAATTTGGAGTGTTACATTTAAAGCTCTTAGAGTGAAATAAGTGTTAGAGATATCAAATGACTGTTTAGACACATTACCAGTGAATATAGCATTGATGCATTTTATTTAAGTGTACAATGCTAATTCACTCGTGTTTTAGAGGTTTCTCAAGCAAAAATGACATATCATGTGATGTAAAGTCCTCGAGTTCGGATTGTGAAGTCTCATCTCAACCCGTGCTTTACCATTCCATACTATTCCATTAATAATACAAATTAGAGTAATAGTCCTTTATTTGTTTTTTCAAAATCATGAAATCTTGACTGCTCAAAACATGTATTCAAGTAGGAGGGCCAACAGAAGCATGAACACATTTAAAAGACTTAAAATATCACAATTTCTCAACCTAAAAATAGGTCATATCTGTGGCATGTAGCACATATGCTGCGGCATGTGGCATAGAACCACTTGCCCTATTTCATACTGTGTTATATGCCTAGCAGGCACATCATGTGCCGCAGCGTTCCGATATGAAATTCTGTAGTCATTTTGACAGCAAAATGATAAACTTTTGGTATGCGCCATTTCCACATCTAATGTTCGATTGGAGTGATCAAGTGCTCATACGAAGCTTATGATGGTGTTCTAACTAATGGATATGTTTTGGACTTAATTTGACTGCCCAATCTAAAATTGAACACCCAAGTGTGAAAAGTCACTTTTTCTTTCAAAACATGTACCCGAAAGCTCAATTCTAATTCTTGTTCCATTAGATCATTTTAGGCCTTGAACTAAGTCCAAAAGGACCATATATACCTAATTAACATCACAATACACAGATACCACATCAATAACCCATTTTATAGCCTTTTAAAGCCACATACATACTTGTGGTTCTTATATGAAGAAAGCACACACACACACCACACACATATCATATATTCACATAACAACTAGACTTGTTCTACTTTCCATCCTCCAACTCTCACATATAGGGCTTTACCTTAGCATATGGTCAAGAATCACAAATATAGTTGGACTCTTCTAAATGGGGCCCTACCTTACTATTTGTGTCAAGTTCTCATTCCACAATGCATATTCCAATTCACAATCAATCATATAATCACATAGTGGAACAAGTTACAGCACAATATACTTGCTTGTTTGCATTTGGCCTACTATTGTACCCTCCTTTGGGGCATCCTTGGCATAATGCAATATCATATATATAATATATATATATATACAAGCAAGATTAATAATACATTAACTTTCTCAATTCACATATATATATACATCCTAGTTAGCAACTTAACTTAATAAAAAACTTTATACATCATTCCAACTTAAGGTAGTCATACCACTACTTGTCGAAGCTACTATTTCCTCACTTTCTTTCTTTCCTAATCTTCTCAAGCCCTCTTTACCTATGTTCAAAAGTAATGGAGTGAGACATACGTTCTAGTTACTTAGAGGTAACCCCAATTACTGTTTTAATAAGCAAAATCATAAACAAGTAATAAAGTAGCATGTATAGTCGTAAAACAATAACATATGCATATACAGGAACTTATTCGAATTAATCTCATTATGCTCATGCAATGTAGTCTTGGTTCCCCATGGTAGAGTAAACTCTATACCCGAACTAGGCCCTTCAGTCAAAAGGAAAGGGCCTACCATACTACTACTCAAACCAGGTTATTTTAGCATGGGTGGTCTCCTAGGTCTATTATGGCAAAGCCTAACTCTACCGCTTTAGATTATCAAGACTTCCTAGCTTTATATAAAGTAGGACTATAGTCCCCTACTCTAATCTAGTATAATCTCCTGAATCATTCAAATATCCAAGTACGTCGTGGGCAGAGTTAAGCTTTACGCTTTGATCATTAAGATTTCTTCTCCTAGATCCATCATAGTGGAGCCCAGCTCTATGCTTTAGATTATCAAGACTTCCTAGACCTTCTTATAGTAGGGCCGTGTTTCCCTTACCATAATCTAGGGTATATCTCACGAATGCAATGCATATCAGTACATATGGTCACTTCTTAAATTTATTTCAATCAATACTCACACACCCCCCATGCATATACTTTCACAATGCTGCTACTCTATCATCAGTTTACAATACAATATACAGTTATAATAAAATACTTGTAGACAATTTCACAAACAAACAAGTAAAAGAGTTACTCCAGTTAGCTTTAACTGTTGTTACTAAGGGTTACCAATCAGCTAAGATCTTAAGGTCACAGATTTTCATGAGCAACTTCCCAGGTGCTTAATCTACATAACACAATGCCCCTCGATCAATTCTTAACACATTTCATAGGCATTGATTTGGCTTAATCAAATCCCTTAATGCATAAAAACAGTTCAATTAAACCCTTTCAATTGACTTTATCCATTTTATGGTCCTTATGCTGTAGCTACTTAAAACAACCATAACAACTCCCTAACACATCTATTCACTTAAATTCACCTATTTAACCTAGCTTTTAGGTCATTTTGAGCATAAATGCTTAAAACTCAACTATTCAACTCCATACTAGTCATAAAACCTTTGTTCTATATTCAAAATCCTTTTTAAAAACCTTTCTTTTGGATTACAACCCTCAGAATCTCATGGTTTGATTTCTCAATTGATGAAATTCAATGAAAAAGAGGTAGAATTAAAGGCTTGGAATTGGCAAAATTGCACGATACTTACCTAGCAAGTTACTAATTAAAGCAGATCCAGATCCAGATAATGTTAGCATTAGACCTTCCTTTTCTTTTAAGAACCCAAATAAACTTGTTTATCATATTAAAATTTCTTCTAATGTTGCACATGTGAGAACATGTCCAAATTTACCACAATAATTGCAAGTAATAGAAAGATATGCATTTGGAAAGTTTTGTAGTTTATGTGTTGGTACTTGAACCATTTCTGAAATATTTTTTCTAAATAATTCTTTTTCAAAAGTATTTCTAATACTTCTAGCAAAATTAGAGTTCAAATTTCATGTATTTTCAAAACCAAATCAGCTAAAGGTTTGAAATTTGCTCTATGAAAATTTTTTAAATCTTTTGACTGCATCCACAAGAATGATTGGAATGATATACCGTAGATTTTTCATGAGCTTTCAAATTGTGATATAGTTTGAACCTATCATGTGAAGATCTTCTTGGAGATCATCTTCCTCTTGTCCAAGTATATTGACTGAATCATAGAAGTGTTCAATGATTTCTCCTTCTTCAATCTCATCTTCCATGTGTTCTCCAAAAGTAGTAACATTAGTCCTCTGTTGTTTAAGGTCTAGAGAACTGCCACACTTTCAATCTCAATACGATCATTAGTAGTATAAATGGATTCAAGAGTATCCCAAATAATCTTAGCATTAGAGCAATATTTGATTTTCACAAAGTCAGTCTCAATTAAGCTCAAATGTTCATAGCTCTAATGTTCAAA